ATGCTGATGCTGATGCTGCTGAAGATGATGATGAAGAATGATAATAACGAAGAGAAGGCTACGCAGAAGTGAACCTTGTGGTGATGATGATGATGACGGTGTTGCTAACGAAGACGATGCTAAATCCGACGGTGATGATGATGTTTATGCTGATGATGACGCTGCTGATGACGATGCTGATGACGCTGATGCTGAGTATGTTGATTATCATGATGCTGATGATGATGCAGATGATTATGCTGGATGGTGCTACTGATGCTGCTGCTGCTGATGATGCTGATGATGCTGATTACTCTCGTGCTGATGCGGACGATGCTGATGATGATGCTGGTGACAATGATGTGGATGACGATGATGACGATTCTGATGCTGGCGTTTCAGACGATGTTGATGATGATTATGATACATACTCTGATGGTGATGTGGACGCTGATACTGCTGATGGTTCTGATTTTGATGTTGCTGCAGATGTGGGCACTGCTGATGATGATGATGATTTCGATGCTGATTCTGATGATGGCGATGATGATGATGCCGATGAGGATGATGATGCTGATGATGATGATGATGATGATTATGATGATGATGATGATGATGATGAGGATGCTGATGATGATGATGATGATGATGATGATGCTGATTCTGATTATGATGATGATGATGATGATGATGGGGATTATGATGATGCTGCTGATGATGATGACGATGCTGATGATGCTGATGCTGATGATGACGATGATGCTGCTGCTGCTGATGATGATGATGATGATGATGATTATTATGATGATGATGATGACGATGATGATGATGATGATGATGATGATGATGCTGATGCTGATGATGATGATGATGATGATGCTGATACTGATGATGATGATGATGATGATGATGATGTGATGATGATGATGATGATGATGATGATGATGATGATGATGATGATGATGATGATGATGATGATGATGATGATGATGATGATTGATGATGATGATGATGAGATGATGATGATGATGATGATGATGATGATGATGATGATGATGATGATGATGATGATGATTGATGATGATGAGGAGGAGGAGGAGGAGGAGGAGGAGGAGGAGGAGGAGGAGGAGGAGGAGGAGGAGGAGGAGGAGGAGGAGGAGGAGGAGGAGAGGAGGAGGAGGAGGAGGAGGAGGAGGAGGAGGAGGAGGAGGAGGAGGAGGAGGAGGAGGAGGAGGAGGAGGAGGAGGAGGAGGAGGAGGCGGAGGAGGAGCAGGATGATGAGGAGGAAGGGGAGGAGACTGATAATGAGGATGGTGCAAGAGAGGAGGGTGAGGAGGGAAGCATCGTGAGGGGAAGGGGCGTGGGGGGAGGGGCGGGGGCAGTTTTCGGAGTCAGTGGAGGGGAGGCTCAGGAACATGCGGCGGGGGGGAGGGCTCGCAGGAGGAGGAAGTAGGGGGGGAACGAGGAGCGGACTCGGAGGAGAAGAACATGGGGCGTATGCGGAGTCAAACTCCAGGGGCGAAATCCAATCTCAAACGTGCCAGAGGAAATACGCCCAGCACCCGAAATCAGGATGGCGGAGTAGGAGGAGCAGGGGGAGGAGGGCTGCGGATTGGAATGGGTGATACAGGTGATGAGGTAGTGGGGGATGGGTTGCAGGAGGAAGAGGAGGAGAAGAAGGAGGATGCAGAGGAGTTGGATGTGGAGGCGGACGCGGACGAGGAAGATGTGGCGGCTGTGGTGGGGTGGTGGGGTGGTGGCGGTGGTTGTGGTGGAGGGATGTGGAAGGAGAAGGGGGTGCTGCGAAGGAAGAGGCGAAAGATGCGCCTGGAGGAGGGGATTGGGATGGGCCGAGTAGCGGAGGCCCCAAGACCGTGAAACTGTGGAAGGACATCATTGTCGTCGTCGTCGCCGTCGTCGTTCTCGTCGGGATCGTCGTCGTTGTCGCCGCCGTGCCCAGACAGTGAAGCTGTGGAAGGAGGACCTCTCGAAGGTCAACCAGCAGGTCTCCGACTCGCTAGCCGACCCTGAGAAGCGCCCCTGTTACGGCCCTTCTCGGATGATGCTGATGATCATGCTGATGCTGATGATGTTGATGATGATGATGTTGATGCTGATGATGTTGATGCTGATGCTGGTGATGCTGATGGTGATGCTGGTGCTGATGCTGATGATTATGAATATGAGGATACTAGTGATGATGCTGATACTGATGATACTGAGGATGATGATGCTGAAGCTGATGATGCTGATTATGCTGATGCTGATGCTTATGATTATGCTGGTGCTTCTGCTGATGCTGCTGCTGATGATGCTGATGCCGATGCTGATGCTGATAATGCTGATGCTGATGCTGCTGATGCTGATGCTGATCATGCTGCTGCTGATGATGAGGATTATGCTGGTGCTGATGCTGATGCGGATGCTGCTGATGATGCTGATGCTGATGCTGTTGCTGATATTGATGATGCTGCTGCTGATGATACTGGACATGCTGATATGATGATGGTGATGCTGATGA